AGTTAGGTTAAGTGAAGAAGGATCGATTCAATACTGGGACATTGTCCTGATCTTCCCTTTAAATTTCCCCAAATGTCACTTTTATGATATTAAACAAATGGTTTTTTTCTTAAAAGTTGTACTCAGAAGGAGTATTATATAGTTGCTTGGATCATCAGGTTGTCCTGTAGGTTAAATCAACATGGTAACTACAGCACCGAACCTGAATTACAATCCACTAGCATTGAACCCTTAACTGATGTGAAATAATTGCACAAGGAATTCCAAAGGAATTAGGATCCAGTACAAGCTTCTATAATAAATAAGGACTAAATTCTGGAGTCGGGGGAAATTTCAGCCCTGGTAAAGACTCTAAAATTTGGTTAATCAATTTTTAAGAAATTCAGAACTGTAGTAGTATGACTTTTACAGCAGTGCTTCTAACAGTAGTAGTATGACTTTGGAATGGTTATAGTAATTTGGAAATAGGCAATAGTGTCATAATAATCACTGATTTTATTGTATTCTTGATCATGACTGAGAGCAAGTTATTCTGAAAGAAAAAATAAAATCCACACACCAAAAATAAAGCAAAAGGCAAACATCTTATGTTTACCTGAATAAAAACCTAATTACACTTGTCTTTCAGTGACTGAAATAACAGAGCTATAGTAAAGTAGTTGCTTTGGTATAATAAATATTTTTGACAACTTGACTATATAACTTTCTATAACTGTAGTTACCTAGCTCCTCACTTGTAACTCTGAAAGCTAGAGTTCCTTCCAGCTATCTAAAACCACATCTTTCTTACAGCAGAGAGATGAAAATTTTCACAAAATGCACAGGTGTTCAAGAAGCATAAGGAATCCCAGGCTGCTCCGTATGCTTAGCACAAGAATTCCATACTCGGGCTATTGCTACCCAAAGCACCTACTGCAACCTCAAACCTCTTGAAAACAATTATAATGCACAAACAATTCACAGGCTTGGAACACTTTTTGCCAGTAATTTACTGGCTCTTCTTACAAATGGAAATCAGTGGCATTGATTTGCTACAGGCTAAAAATATTCCAGTCTGAAAAAAGGATTTGATGGTTACCCTGCATTAGTCATGGGAGCTTACACGCTTCATGATACCATGCTGCAAATCTATTGTGACAAAAAGTCATTCTGATAGGCCTGCATAAGAATGATGAAGTCTCAATCCTTCACACTGTTTCATGAAAATAATGTTTTTTTTATTTACTTATCCTAAATCTAAAGCAAAAAGAAAATTACCTTGTCCCAGAAGATCATATGATTGAGTGACACTTTTGAAATGAACCATCAGAAAAATTAATCTCTAGAGCAGAAGCTTGGACAATAGAGTTGATGCATTTTTATTACACCTTTTTGTATCATCATTTTCAATGTAAACCAAATGCAAATGAGATCAGATTTTATTTGCATCTTATTTTCTCTTGTAAATAAAATATATTAAAAATTAATAGTAACTAACAGTATTCCAGACATACAAAAAAGGAACGTGGAAGGTACAGAAATCACTTCTCAGTGATACAATTCGTTAATACCAAACCACAAAGATGTTCTCAATGTCACAGACTGCGTTTGTGTCATGGAAGCTAACGACATCTCTCCCCTTGCTTTCACTGGCACACACAGACATGTTTTCACCACTGAAATCTAAACATGATTTGAGAAACACAAGAAACAAGCAAAGAGGAAATCCCCAGTACCAAGTCATTTGGGAAATCCCATCAGATTCTTGCATGCTCGCAGCTGATACTTAATATGATACAAGTCTATATTTTTAGCAGGGCTGTTGATTTTGGCTTGCTTTTGCAACTGGTAATGGAAAAGTAAAAAGGGATTTAAAAGAAACCCACAATTTTTTGTTTCAGTTTTTAGTGTCTTCTGCTTCATCTCCTTTCTTTATCCCTAACTTTGTGGTCCTCTAACCATATATATATTTTTGCCCTTCTGTTTTGGGCAGCACATTTTATCGGTCTTGAGTCTACAATGTGGTGTCTTGCATGTATTTTAGCTGACTTGTCTCTGACACTGACTCCAATATCTCCATCCTGTGAGCTGTTAAGTAGAAGCTGGGACCTGCCATCATCCTTGTACAGTGAAAGAACTTTCCTGAGGAACAGAGAACTCACACTGCAACAGGAGAAGCCCCAACTGCTGTAGCACAGTTTTCAGTTTAATTAATCCTAAATCAATTATTATTTGTGAAAACAGCAACCAAAACACAGCTACCGGTTAGCAGACGCAGACATCAAAAAGATGGCCTGGTCAGCCTAAGGGTTAATCTGCTCTGAGTTTGGACGTTAAGCGTACCGCTGGATTGTATACTCAATACAAACATCACCCTTTTTCGAATGTTAACTGGGAGTGAAAAAAGCAAATGAGTATTTAATGAATATCAGTTTAAAAACTAAGGCTCACCTCTACATGTCGAAAGTCAATTACCTTTAAAGTATTCTAAGTGAAAATATCTTACTAAAAATGAGCATTTTCTTTGAAGGGCAGAGTAACTTTGATATTTCTATTCATTTTGAATAAGCAGAGTCCACATTTATGACTGTCAGAAATACTTCTTACAAAGTGCTATAGACTCTATGTAACCAATTTCATGGCAGATATCGCTTCTATAAAAGGATCCTTTGTATCCAACCCTAAAAACATCCAGCTTCTTTGAAAACAGGTTTGATGGCTTGTGTATTGTTGCCATGGGTTTCAAATACAGCATATCTCACCAGCTGCTGACAACCCACAACATTTTGGGAAGGCTTTGTGACACAATGATACAACATGAAGTCTGATAGATTAGAAACAGAAAGTGGGTGTTTTGAGCTAAGAATAGAAATAACATTGCCAGAAACAATTAACAGTAATTAATAATGATCCACACCTATGCTTTGAATTTAACCAGGATACTTTGGTTCAACTGAATTTATTTAAAATCTTTCCTGATGCTTCACATTACACCCTATGAACAAGTATGCCGTATTTGATGTCCTGTTCACATTGCCAGACTTTTCATGTACACTTGAAATAGCAGTCTGCAGACCAAGCTCAAAACCAAATCAGCAACCCACCTGAATTATTTGCTACATGAATGCCTTTGGAACTAGCTCTAGCCAACTATGTTTCCCATAGTGGAAGATCTAATACAATCTTGTCTTTAAAGCTCGCTCAAGGTAACAGATATTTTTCCACCATGTGAATGTGCCTCAATGTGCTGTCTGGAGCTCATTCACATTGCCAGACTTTTCATGTACACTTGAAATAGCAGTCTGCAGACCAAGCTCAAAACCAAATCAGCAACCCACCTGAATTATTTGCTACATGAATGCCTTTGGAACTAGCTCTAGCAAACTAAGTATGTTTCCCATAGTGGAAGATCGAATACAATCTTGTCTTTAAAGCTTGCTCAAGGTAACAGATATTTTTCCACCATATGAATGTGCCTCAGTGTGCTGTGTGGAGCTCAGTAGTTTCCATTTATCCCATCTGCTTTTCATAGCGATGTGACACAATTCAGGCTGTGCAGACAGGGTCCTTGGGTACATTGAAATAAAAGAGAGGTGGGAAGCAAACATGATCATCCCCACTCCTTAAGAGATATATCATTCCCTGTTTTGTTTAGTTCCTTAGTCTTTAGTTCTTTGGTTAATAAGATGCTGAATATTCCTGTAAAATTTTTGAGTTGGGGAAATCATTGTCTTAGACCATTTATGCAACTTCTGTACTAAAGAAGAAAGTGGTTGTTTATTCTAGTAAAACACATCTGGTAGACTATCACTCCAGAAGCATGACCAGAACATTGTTTATCTATTCCTATCTGCCTAAATAATAGGTATAAAGCTAGCATGCAGTGCACCAAAACCTTGCTCTTTCCCCCAGTGAATCATAAAGCAGAAAACATAAGTGTGAGAGAAAGCATAAATGAGAAATACTCCATTACTTTCAGTGAGCTTTGGATTGGGCTCTGTATCATATCAATCTCTTAATTTCCACAAAAATAGTCCTTATGCTAGATGGCTAGCTACTTTAAAAAAAAAAAGGTAGTGGGAAATTATTCAAGTTACATGCTGATTGTTGCCTTATCAATAAACCACATTCCAATGTCCTTTTAAAAAACAATAACAGGTAATATGTTTTATGTTGCATGTATGCATGCATAAGTCAATAGTCTAGAAAAGCTATTCATTGTCCTTCCTGAGGTAAGTCACTGCAAATGTGCAGGTAGGGCAGACATAACACAATGCTAGATCACAACTAGTTTGTAAACTGTTGCTTACTTGAGGGTGGAAAAGTTGAAAGACTTTGTGATACTGGCTTCTGGGCTTTTGCTGGTTGGAGTTTAGATTCTCTGAAGTCTTTCTTCTCTTGATTGGGTGCTGCAGATGTTCCCATGGGCTTTTCCCAGCCAACTAAAACAATGAAATGTAAATTCTGTCACTAGCTACAAATCGTTTGCTTTTTCTTGCTTGGAAGCTTCCCATACGTTCAGTGACAAACACTAATAACAGGTCTCACAACTGTTCAACACAGTGGACACCAAAATCTTTTCTCTGTGTATTGCACAGCCACTAGCTAGTATTAGCTTTTATTGTTAGCAGCATGCCACAAAAAGTGGAAAAAATCTGGCATACTTATAGAAGTCCATTTACTGCTTTGAAAACCTAAGTAACAATTTAACATTGACATATGAATAAAATGACTTGTTAAAATGTATTTTTCCCCAAGATAAACTTTTCCACCCCCTGATGTTTCCTTTCTTAAGAGTGGGAATGCTGAAATGAAAACTGCTAGAGACCATTTCTGATAATGTGAGGTGTCAAACAGAAAATCTTGGTTGCTCTCATAGCTCCTGTTATCTTCCTTTTACTGAGTAACAAGGATTCAGAAGTCAAGCCTGTAAAGAAGTAACATTTAGCTTTATTTTAATGGCATCAGTAAGCCCTGCTTGCTTTGTTGAGAATGTCCATTGAAAACCCTTCTCTTCCAAAAAGTAACAAAGGAAAATACTTTCCTCATGCCTACAAGGACACAGTGACCAAAATATACTTGTCATCTTGTAGCAAGTAGGGACTGAATGGTAGGGCTGCCATTACAGTGACTTTCATAATGCTTGTCTCAGTCACAATATACGTAGAACAATTAATAATAAGACCTTTCCTCATGCCTACAAGGACACAGTGACCAAAATATACTTGTCATCTTGTAGCAAGTAGGGACTGAATGGTAGGGCTGCCATTACAGTGACTTTCATAATGCTTCTGTATGTCTCAGTCACAATATACATAGAACAATTAATAAGACTGGTTGTATGTTTTGATATTTTCCATTTGCTGGTCAAAGCAGTGAAGAGGATCTGGTTCTGTTTGTGTCTGGCAAAATCTGACCGAATTCTCAATTTCAAACTGATGGCCAGTTTAACATTTTCATGAGATGTTTCATTTCTTGACCTCTGTGGCTATGTCCACCAGATAAGAATGCAAGTACTGTAATTCCACTGTTTTCTGCAGTTATAATCCAAGTCAGTTGGCTATGTTTGGTAACCAGTTGTTCACCAAATTAAAAACTTCATTCTCCTGAAGGAGAAGAGAGAAGCGGACAATCCAGCGACAGTGATCCAGAGTGTGCTGAGAGCTGATTTCTGAGTCCTGGCTAATTGACCAGAACAGGTCAGCTCCCTAGTGAGGGAGCTTTCCGACTGCAATAGCTCTCAAATCTGACTATGGGACAGAAGAATCACATAATCAGTATACTAGTGGGGGAAGTACAATGTGTTTCGCATCATTAAAAAAGAAACTGAACACTTCCAAGCAGGCCCTCTCTAAAGTCTGCTACTTTCCCTATAAAATCAGGAAAGACTGTGGTACAGCTGACAGCACGACAACATCACACAGGCTTCAATAATCTGTGGCCAAAATGGGGAATAGACCCAGGAAGTCAACTCCATCTGTAATTTGTCACCTGTTTCGATTCTTATGATCAAAAGTTTATTTGTTCAGTAAAAAAAAAGGTTTCTTCTGCATCGTTTATTGTTATAAAAAGAAAGAAATGAAGAAAAATTAACTAGCAACATAGGAGAAGTTAAGTGTGAGCACAATAAAATTTTCACCTTTAAAATTACTGAAACACAACAAAGGAAATGATGTCAATCTAGCATTTTTGCTTTGAATTTGTCATTCAGAAACACTAATCACTAAAGAAAACTGTAGAATATTAAGAAATTACATACATTTGATGACCTGTGGGTAGAAAAAAATGTTTCTCTCTCCAGTGTTAATGACTGGCTTAGTCTGGCCATCTGGCAGGAGACCAACATATATCCCTTTATTTTGCACTGATTCTAGACTTACAGATCCAGTTTCCAAATTCTTCTCAATTTTAAAGTGACAGTATTCATCACCTATGCCCTAGGAAATTGAAAACAGAAATGTGAATTCAACAATTGAATTGATGTAGCGAGGCAAGTTGGATGTTTCTTAAGACTTAAATATCACTAACTTCTAATAACATTTCAGATTAACTTTAGGTTCTTCATGATGTCCTACATTATTACACACACACACATATATATACATATCTTGGCCTTGCTCATTCCTTTGTGAACAGAAAGACCGATGACATAATTTAAGTGAAAGGTCGCGTATGAAAGCATTCCGATTTCTGTTAGGATTTAGGCAAAGTGTAGGATATATTCAAAGGATTTTCCCACTTAATCAACTTACATCTTAATTATTCATTAGTGGGTTTTATCATCAATTTATTCAGACTCAGTACCACTTTAAACCCCTGAACATGTTTGTGCTCTGCCACATTCAAAACAATTATATCATTTCATATCAGCAAACAGACATAGGATTAGTAAACATTGAGTCTAATGAGCAAATACGAATGTCGCATTCTCTTTTTTGCTCTCAAATGTAAATCTGCAATAGTTAAACTCCTAGCAGGTGGAGAATATTACAGGTAAATCAGAATATTTCAACCATCCCCCAAGCCTAGTTTTATTACTAAATTTACAGGCTACTGGTGAGGTATTTCAAGAATAAACTCTATTGGTTGGCTGATGAAGAAAAAAAGTCAGGTTCTTCATTTCAGACAAAACAGAATCATTTGTAAAAGCTAGGATGCCAACATCACTTCAACATCTTCCAAACTCACACCAGTATAACTGTGGTTGTTTAATAAAAATCAAATTAGCACAACAGAATCTTGACAGAGAACCATCAGCTATCTAGCAACAAATAAATTTTAACTACATCCACATTCTCTATAGTTTAAAAATATAATCAGATCTTTACAATCAAGTGCCAAATAGCCATGACAGCTAGCTTCTTTTGCTATATTTTTCTATCTTTTCCTTCATTTGCCCAAAGAGCTGAAAAAATTTAAATCTCAACAACGTTTTATCCCATTTTTACCCAAGCAAGTAAAAAAAATATTCTCTGCTATCACTGACAATTTACTCAAACTATCTGCAGAGGGAAATGCAAAAAAGAACTGCTTACTGTTCCATTACACTGGTCATCTTTGATCTTCAGATACATTCTTGGGTTTCTCACACTTTCAAACATGCAGACTCCAGAGCAGATTTTATG